ACAGAATGCAAGAGCTAATTAAAAAAGAAGCAGAATGGATATACAATTTAAGAACACTTAAAACCGGTTTAAATCAAGATATTGATTTAACTGGTCTAATTTAATGATATACAAATTAATCCAATAATTATCCTTCTTCCAAAATTTCTTTTTCTCTTTTCTATATCCTGGTCTTATTGATAGTAGTTTGAAATTTGTCTATATTTACCTATATAAGTTCCACATCTGGATATATTGTATTATATGTACTATATGGATATTAATGCTTATCTCTATCTTATAGATGGATGTTGAACTCATTACACTTTATATTTGCATATTATCTAATTGTATTTATTTAATTATTGTATTTGAGAGTGCTATATTATGCGAAAAAAAAAAAAAAAAAATTATATATATTTTGTAGACTATATATATATATATACTATCTTTGATATATGTTCAGTTATTATTAATATTTGTACATCTGTTCCCATTGTACATTGGATTGGGCTACAATGATATTATACATTTGTTTTTTCAAATTTGTACCCTTTTGGGGTTTCATGTATATAACAATCATGCATTCTGATATTACAGAATATACATTGTACTATTACTCCTTTTTTATAATGTCTTACATGTCATGTTTTAAATATGACATGTTTTAATCTGGTCCATATTATACAACATCCATTTAGTCCTTTATAGTTATTCTTTTTTATTTTATGCAGATTTTTAATGCTTTATTATTTTCATGGCATACAGACTTCTTTTTCTGTCCCATATTTGTATAATGGGAACTGATTGTTGCCCCAGAGGGGAAGCCTTTTCTGCTGCACTTCTATTAGTGCTAGCAGAAGAGGGCTCCCCTCGATCGGATTAGATCCGAAACCGGAAGTGATGTCATGCGTTCCAAGGTGGAACGCAAGAAGCCCACTTGATTGGATGAGACCGGAAACCGGAAGTGACGCTATGCGTTCCAAGGTGGAACGCAGGAAGTCTAAGGGCCGAAAACCGGAAGTAACATGTGAATTTCCCCGCGAATTTGAAAATTGGCATGATATATAAACCATGAAGATTACAACACATCTATATCCCTGAGGAAGTCACCATAGTGACGAAACGCGTTGGATACTACTTTTGGACTTTTTATGCTAATATACAGCTGTTATTATAGTCCATTTGTTATTTTTATTTATTTTATTTTATATTTTTTTAATTTTGTGTACCTCCATTTTGGGATCTCTCTCTACTTTCACCTGGAGACCCGGCCATTACTTCATTATGGAGATATGCTGTCTTACTTCTGATTTCTTGTAAGTGCAATATTTGGAATAAATTTTGTTATTTTTATACAATCTGCACTATCTATATTTTTTCTTTTGTTCCTGAGCTGAAGGAAAAAGGGATATTTTATTCCTGAGCTGAAGAAAAAGTGATATTGTCAGTCCTCGCCATATATATTCGGTCTCCAATGTGGAAAGTACCCCTGACAGGATGACAGGCGTGATTACTACTCCCTTCTTGTAAGTTTTCTACCACGTGCAAATCCAATTTTGCCTAACTTACTTCACTATATTTTGTATTTTGCTATTTTATAGATTCCACGTTCATTTTCAGCCATATTCAGGTTGTATTGTTCTCAACCACCCTCTATTTGTATATATCACCTTTGGGTTTTTATATATACGTCCTTGTGTTTATTCTTTAATAGATGGTGGGTGGAAAGCTCTTCTGTCTCGAGAGTTGGCTGGGCCTCACACTACAATGGATATGTCCAGCTGACTTCCTGCAAAGCTCACGTAAGGTTCCCACCTTTGTGCTGGCTATTTGAATGGTGCCCTTTAGTATAAGATGTAAGATGTATGCAGAATAGTGCAAACCTACAAAGAAACCCTGATGCAGAACTTTGGTTATGCTAGCAGTTCTGCCACTGATCATAAACCAAAGTGCAGATTGGTGCCTGCCTGATTTCCCAACCAATTTCATATGATTCATCTGATTGCCTGCAATGTTTTCTGAGCAGGAAAGATTGATAGTCCTGCTTCCCTTCAGAGACATTCCCAGCCTAACATTCTGCTAAGGTTGGATATCCTAACTTCCACCACCATACCCATTCACCGTAGGCTGCCATCAAGGAAAGAAATCCATGCTGGTCACTAGGAGCACTCTAGAAATTTGTTGTGAAGCAAACCCACTGTCCAGTTCTTCTGCACACTACTCCAACTAGCTTATTTTGACACTGGCATCCATCCATCAGTCCTTACTCCCCTCTGGCATGCTGTTATTCCTCTTGTGTGTCTATACCCCTTCCTCGTAGATTGTAAGCACTTTTAAGCACGGCCTTCTTCACTTCTTGTTACTATTATGTATGTCTGTTATCCCCATTCCATGATTGTAAAGCTTTCCAAAAATTGTTAGTGCTATATAAATATTAATTATAATAATACATGTTGTTGGCTGACCAGTTGCCTAGTCATGCCAGAGTGCCTGCAGATATTCTTCTATATTTGCAAATGTGGTCATATATTGAACTCAAGCTAGGCTTTGGATATTCCTCTGGAATTCTGTTTTTGATTGGACAGAAGAAAGGGGTCACAAATCAACACTTGGGGGATGCACTAAAGAAATATCAAGGTACCTAGAAATTATTATTGCAGTATTCCAGTAGAACAGGCAGTAAGAAAAAGTAAGAGGTAAGGATTGTGTAATAAAGGTAAATATGATACATTTGAAGAAAGCACATGATCTACAGTATCAATAGAGGTCCAACAGAGCAAAGAGGTCTAAAAGAATAAGAGGCGAGCAGTGACCAGTATTTTGTTTGTGCCAAAAAAATGATTACTGCTTTGATGTGTAAATTAGATGGGTATATGACCATATAACTATATCAATTCAAAATCTCTCACATAGGCTTAATACCAGGGTTTGGATCTGTATTGATAGAGTAAAGAAGGTGCACTTAAATACTGCTGGTATCAACTAATAATAACAACTGCACTTAGTCTAAGAAGGATGGGCATGAGACAGAAATGGGAAAGACACACCCCATAAATCCTAACAACCAATCTTCATCTGAAGTGATTCTTTAAAACCCATTAGGCAGACCCAGCATTGTCTGTGCTAGTATAGCACAATGTTTCTAAAATTATTTGTATTTTGAATTGGTAAGGAATACAAATAGAACAAGTCTATTAAATAGTACAAGACAAGCATATAGACTGCAAAATACTTTGTAATTATAGCCTCTTTGTTGGGTAACATGTTGGGTGGGTCTTTATCTTCCAATGGACTTTTTTCAAGGGCATATGTTTCCTCACACTTGTTCTCAGATAAAAGTTTTTCCAAGTTTCATGGATATAAAAAAAAAAAAAAACTTGGAAAAAGTTTTATCTGAGAATAAGTGTGAGGAAACATATGCCCTTGAAAAAAAGTCCATTGGAAGATAAAGACCCACCCAACATGTTACCCAACAAAGAGGCTATAATTACAAAGTATTTTGCAGTCTATATGCTTGTCTTGTACTATTTAATAGTGTTTTTTTTTTATTATTCTCAGTGTGCCTCAAGTATAATTGTTGGAAGATTTTACACTAAGGAGATTCCACTTCTTTTCAAATTGCTTTTACTGAAGTTTTCTTTAAAAAAAGGGAAATAATCCCAAAAATTTGAAGGAAATCCTATACCCATTCAAAATCATATACATAGTTAGGGGGACAGAAAACATTTTTGACATACATGAAATATAACCTTATACTTTAGAGAATATAATTATGATAGCATTCCATGAATTATTAAACATTATTTAGTTGGTTTTTTTTTCAAATAATGTCCTTAAAAAAGTCATAACAAAAGTATATACCAAAAAAATTTTTTCTTGAGATAACTACTTCTAGCAAAGTAAGAGAGAGAATTTATGTTAAAAAAAACTGAAAAAAACCCTGACATTCTCAGTATTGATGTGTTTTGAGAACTTTCTTTAACCAATGCTACAGTAAATATGTCCCTTCTTTATAAATGTACATGTTTGTTCTTGCTGCATTAGTTCCACCAAAGATTTGCTAATGCAGCCACAGTTCAGCACAGGTTGAAGAATTAGGCAAATAAGAAGTTAAAATGCACAGCTAGGATGCAGACCAGATTCATTTGCTCAACAGATCATTCAGCCCATGGTGGAATGTTTGTCATTCCTCATTTAGATTAAATCCAAGCATATTGCATGCTTATTTTCGTTTGTAATTTGAGGTTAATATAAAATATATGTAGCCTTAATTATTCATGTTGAATTCCTATACAAGGAAACATTGTGAAGAATGTGCTACTATCTGACAATAGTCTTAGCAATGACTACCTTGTACTGGGGATAGGTTAAACCAAAGAACATGTATTATATAAAAATGCCAGCACTATTATTTATAAAGACAAAAGTTCAATTGTGCAGAACAAGTACTCTGACCTTTCCTGTGGTGAACCATTTAATAAGTTTGCAATGATACAATTATGTACTTAACCACATAATTGTAAGTAGAAGGGAACTATAAGAAATTCTTAATTACATAAAATTCTGGTTTACTGGTAAAAATGTGCAACCTATTGTTTTTTAGTGAGAGTTTTAAAATTATATTAGTACATACAATAAGGTACATACACTGAAATATTTTAAAATTTGTTTAACATTATGTGAGATAATCTTTTGAATAAAAGGAAAAGAAAATCTTCTTTCCACTTTTCTCTTCTATTTTTCCTTTTATTACCCCCTTCTTTTCTTCCTTTTCCTCTCTTCTTCCCTTTACACAAGAGGATCCCCATACCTTTATATTGTATGTAGTTAGACATGTTTTCTACCTGTAACAGACCTACAGTGAGGGAAAAAAGTTATTTGATCCCTTGCTGATTTTGAACGTTTGGTCACTGACAAAGAAATGATCAGTCTATAATTTTAATGGTAGGTATACTTTAACAGTGAAGGACAGAATAAGAAAAAAAAAATCCCGAAAAATGCACACTCTGACTATGAGGTCAGAGTGTGCGCTCACAGATGTTGTCCTTGGTTTTCGGCAAGCGGAACATAGCGTCGAGCTTCACTGCATTGGCTTGCTTTGATGGTTGGGCTATTAGCTGTCGGATATAGTGAGGCACATCAGGAAGGCCTACCAAGTCCAGGATGCCCCAGATCTTCAGTTTGTATAGCCTCGGTTGGTCCTCTATGGAGTCCACCCTTTCAGTGGTAGTCGTTAGCCATGATCTTCTGTGCCTGTGATCTCTACAGGATTTCTCCGATATCTCTGGAAGTAGGGTGTAGCGGAAGTCCAATACATAGGGCTCTGATTGTTTGTGTTTGTGTCCCATAATGTTCTCTGAGCAACAGAGTGGAGTAGGTAAGCTGGGGGAAGATTATGCTACCACCCCTCACCCCATCTGGTGGAATTCCTGGTGTCAGGTTTCAAGGAAATGTTTCACACAGGCATCATTTATATGCCTTTGGGGATAGTCAGATGTAATAACTATCCCCACCCTGTTCCAATAAGGCTGCGACGTCAGCAAGGTGGTGGTGTAGTCATGTTTTGGGCTGGAATCATGGGAAGAGAGCTGGTCGGCCCCTTTAGGGTCCCCGAAGGTGTAAAGATGACCTCTGCAAAGTACGTGGAGTTTCTGACTGACCACTTTCTTCCCTAGTACAGAAGGAAGAACTATGCTTTCCGTAATAAAATCATCATCATGCTTGACAATGCACCATCTCATGTTGCAAAGAATACCTCTGCATCAATGGCTGCTATGGGGATAAAAGGAGAGAAAGTCATGGTGTGGCCTCCATCCTCCCCTGGCCTCAATCCTATTGAGAATCTTTGGAGCATTCTCAAGCAAAAGCTCTATGAGGGTAGGAGGCAGTTTACATCCAAACATCAGCTATGGGAGGCTATTCTGACATCTTGCAAACAAATTCAAGCAGAAACTGTCCAAAAACTCACAAGTTCAATGGATGCAAGACTTGTGAAGCTGCTATCAAATAAGGGGTCCTATGTTAAAACGTAATGTGACCTGTTAAAATGTTTAAAAAGTTAAAATGTTGTTATAAGTTTGATTGAAATAGCTTTTTATTTCAGTAAATATGCTGCAAACACAACAAATGACAATTTTTTACAACCTATAAAGTGTTTTGAAACTTACTGTGCGTAATAATTTGGACCAGTGCATTGTAAGTTTTTTATGTTTTAAAAAAAATACTGTTATCATTAGGAGGTTTGTTCAATAAAATTTGAATTGTACTCCTAATAGTTGATAACATGAGAATTATGCTGACTGTTATTTACATCAATTATTTAGGTAACTGAGAAAAATATAATTTGCATAATAATTTAGAACAGGGTGTATGTAGAATATGTATATGTATGAAATGATTTATGTAATTACAGTATATACTCGAGTATAAGTCTAGTTTTTCAGCACATTTTTTGTGCTTAAAAACCCCCACTCGACTTATACTTGAGTCACTGTCTGTATTATGGCAACTTAGAGAGCCGCGGCCGTCAGAGCCATGGCAACGATCCGCGCGGCAACCAGACCGCAAGACTTACAGGGGAGCTGACCAGAACAGAGGAGAAGGGAGCTGACAGGAGCTGCAGGAAAGGTAAGTAAATATTTCCTGCCGGCCCCCTCCACTTCACAGCCCATGCCACTGGACCACCAGGGATTAAGATAGCCCCCCTCCCTGACCAGTTAACAAGCAGGGAGGGGTGACAAAAAAAAATTAAAATAATAAAAAAATAATAATATTAAAAAAAAAATTAAAATAACAAAAATGCCCTCCCCCCACCCGGTTCACACACACTACACAAACACACACTCTGCATTATATACACAGATTGTGTGTATATAATGCAGAGTGTGTGTTTGTATGAGTGTGTGTGTATATATAATGCAGAGTGTGTGTATATATAATGCAGAGTGTGTGTTTGTATGAGTGTGTGTGTGTGTGTGTGTATATAATTATAAAAATCACAGAATTTCATAGCCCCAAGTTTTACCCTCGACTTATCCACGAGACATAGCATATTTCACAATTGTTGGTCACAAAAGTGCACTCGACTTATACATGAGATCGACTTATACACGAGTATATACGGTATGTATATGGACATATTTTTTGTATTTATTATTTATATATAAAATTTCCTTCTAAGTGTATTTTGATATTTATAAATATATTAATATCAAAATACAGTTAGAATAAAATTACATATATAATTAATTTTTTTAAAATTATTTTTCAAACTTTTATTTTTATTTATTTTTTATAATATATATGTGTTTAATCTTACTTTGTGTATTTTATATTAATATATGTATATATTCATAAAAGAATATACTTCATATGACGTTGTATATGATATATATATATATATATATATATATATATATATTTGTGGTCAGGGCACAAAGCCGTAGCATTAGTAACATAAAATAAACAGGGGATGGAAAAGTCAGTTGCGGTGTGCCGGAACTGACAAGGTAGTAGGCCTGAAATAAAAGAGGGCCTACCTCATGAAATGCTTATAAAAGGAGGTGTGGTGGGTGGGACAAATCACCAGACCCAAGCCGGTAGTGAGGGAAGGGCTGGTGCTCCTTAAGAAGGGGAACCAAGCCCCTCCCACAACTTCAGGCCCTGCCTTCCATTTGTGGTCAAGGCACAAAGCCGTAGCATTGGTAACATAAAACAAACAGGGGATGGAAAAGTCAGTTGTGGTGTGCCGGAACTGACAAGGTAGTAGGCCTGAAATAAAAGAGGGCCTACCTCATGAAATGCTTATAAAAGGAGGTGTGGTGGGTGGGACAAATCACCAGACCTAAGACGGTAGTGAGGGAAGGGCTGGTGCTCCTTCAGAAGGGGAACCAAGCCCCTCCCACAACTTCAGGCCCTGCCTTCCATTTGTGGTCAGGGCACAAAGCCGTAGCGTTAGTAACATAAAACAAACAGGGGATGGAAAAGTCAGTTGTGGTGTGCCGGAACTGACAAGGTAGTAGGCCTGAAATAAAAGAGGGCAAAAAGATGTAACCAGTTTATTCAGCCTACAATACACAATAGGATATCACATAATCATATTCTTAAATGCTAGGTGCACCTCTTGTACTTGCTGAGGAATGTATCTGATGTAAGCCGTGGATTTCCACCGGCCTAATATTTTAATATTTAGTGTACCGGAATATTCCTTTTGGAAGCGGTAGTAGCTGCTCCTATTCTAAATGAGTGACCTGAATATTCGGTTGGGTTCAAGCCTAACCGACCCAACAGCATTCTTACATAGAGCATGAATTTACTCGTAGTGAGCGTATTACCATGTAAGGCTAGTAGTGGTTGTGTTGGCACCATTGGAAAGGAGGAGAGGTATTGGTCGAAAATTTCCACAGGGCACCATTTATTACTAGTGGGGTAATAGGCAATAGTGACCAACTGATCCTTGGCACTAGTTTTCGTATGGTGTAGGGACAGTAAATAGTGATTGTGTGATTTTACCTGGTTTGACCTTGTGATGAAGTTGGGGGTGTTATAGTTAGCGGTGGTAAATTCTTTGGGCCAAAGAAAACCGTAAAAAGCTAAATAGATGGCTGTTTTAATGACATGATTAGTATGAGTTTCAAATGGTGAGGTGTCTCATTTATACATATATATTTTTTTTATTTATTAACTTTATTTTTTTTTATTTTACAACTTTTTAAAAACTTTTTTTTTTACCAGCAGGGCTTTCAGAGAGATCACATGGCCTTTGGGGTCCTTTTGTTGAAGAAGAGGGACTGTCTGGGCTGTCAGACAGTCCCCCCAGTGAAGCAGAACACCAATCGCCGGCGGGGGAATGGCAGCAGTCGGTTAAATACATGGGAATGGTGGGAGGGAGGGAAGGGGTTAATTATTAATTATTTTGTTAAAATTTTATTATTTCTTTCATTCATCACTGAGTGCCTCGACCCCTCGAGGCACTAAGCACATGCACAGCATTGAAAGCCTGATGGAGCCAGGGGAGCGATCACCCAGCGGCTGGTCAGTGAGGGGGTTATAGCAGGATGCCTCGACATCGAGGCATCACTGCAACACCCTTAGAGCATCTGGAAGCGATCATGATCACTTCCAGCGCTCTAATTCGCCGCGGACATACAGGTTACATCACCGGTTGTTAAGTACCGTTTTTTGTTTGATGTATCTTGTACGTCCACAGTCATTAAGGGGATATACAGCCAATATATACAAATTCATACATAGGGAACTTTGGGTCCCCTTGTGTGAAAAACAGCCACACTAACTCATCCACCCATGTTAAAAATTGAGAATTGCCTGGAATTCAAAGTGAATTTTAAATTTAAAGACAAAACAGTCCAAAGGTCTGTGTTTCTGCCCTATTAGATTTGTGAATTTTGATAAATAATTATTGTTGGTTATTATGTTTAGCCTATTTACTATCACTTATTGTTGTATTACAATTGTAAATCTAATATTGACTTATTAAACCAAGATAGAGATTCTGTATGGTTTCTGGTGTGCATTCTCTTTTTTAGTTAATTATTGTAGTTAGGTCAAACAACGCTTACGAAATATATATTGTCTTCTACCCTCTCTTACGCATCTTTTAACTTATGTTTATTGTGTGTCTCTCTACCCACATACCTTCAGTCACATGCATATATACATAGACTTGCAATCAGGCATGCAGTCTCTTACACACATGGATATATGAACAATCCCATACATAGACACACAATCATATGCACAGTCATTTAGACACACACAGTCACATACAAAGACATGCACCTTTACAATGTGCATAATTACACACAGTCACCTTCAGTCATATACTTAACCAATCACCTACACAAAGTAGACAGTTATATACACAGTCTTACAAATACACACAGTAAACTGTCACATACACACAGTGAAACACAAATAGTAACAGGCACTCATATTATTCATTACATTTCCCTGTACTGCACACCATGATAGACAGGGTGTGGGGAGGAAGGTGGAAGACAGGCTGTCACGACTGCTAGTGAGGTCCAGCAGAACTATGTAACATCTACATAGACATATCAGAAAATAATAGAACGTAAACCGGTCCTTAGAATGGCCGGACTAATATGCTAAAGACAGAGAATGGTCAAGGGATAGCCGAGGTCAAGGAAGCCAGAAAATATACAATACCGTTTAACAAGTCAAGTCAGGGAAACTAGAAATCAGAAATTAGGAATAGCCAAGGTCAAAATACTGGAAATATCAAAAACAGAAAATGCACTCTCAGAAACCACGACAGGGCAAAGAACCAGGGAATTTAAATATCCCTCCTTTGACTGTGATTGGTCAGAGGGTGAACTCTGAACCCAGAACGTGTGTGTGTCGACGTTGTGACATCACACTCACGTTCGTGTGACCCTGGGGGGCGGAGCTATTTATGGCTGCGACCGCATGGTCGGCGCTATCTTTAATCCGGGCAGGCAGCCAGGAGAACATGGCGGAGCAGCTCCCGACTCGCCACTGAGCAGGAAAGCTCAGTCCGTCGGCGCGGTCGCACTGGTCGGGTGCGACCACACCTCGTGGCGAGCCGGAGGCCATGACACAGGCATTATGTTGTTGCTCACTACCCAGAGTCTCCTTCCACACTTGGGAATAGCTATACTCATACCCAGCTGTCCAAGGATGGTGCAGCCCTACTAACTTTGGCTGTGGCAGATAATTTCATGCTAGTAGGACCACGCTGTGCAGAGGGGCATGACTGCTTAATCTGCCTCTGTATCAGGGGAGGCAGAGTTAGGCCCAGGTGTTTGAGCAATGTGGCTAACTGGCACCTCTGTTGCCATGGCACCCTGTGTGGCGCATTGCTTGCACACCCCAAAGGCCAGCACCTACTCACAGCATGGTGAGTGGGGGTCTTGGGAGAGGTATTAAACCTGCCTTGTATTAATGTTGCTAGTGCTGACGGTGGTCACATAGCTAACTCCTATTCCTGAAGCAACCAGCATTTGGGTGTTTCAGTTGCTTCAGTATTATTTTATGTGGCGGCTAAGATTTCAGTTTTTGGCAGAATTACTGATCACCCCAAATTCGTCTGAATATCAGTTTTGCTGAATGATCTTCCATCCTAATGGAGAATTAGGAAGCAGTAGGTAGATGAGAGGGGTTGGGATTTAAATAATTTGTAATAAGATTTCAAAATGTTTGCAAATAAATAGTATATTCCTAAAAATGAATACTGTATATGCATTTACAATATGAAAAGATTAGTTAAAAACTATACAGAGATTAAGTCACAATGCATACAGTACTAATTAGTAATTAAATAAGTTCCATTTTAAACAATAAAACCATTTTAGAACACTTAATACCAAAAAAATAAATAAAACTGAGGTAAGTGCTAATAAGAAGTAAAAACATGGAGGCGGAGCCAGCAGCCATACCGTCCGGACGCATCCTGTGGGAGCTCAGTGATAGCCGCATTATTAAACATCCAAAATCGTCACTTCAGCCCTGCTCTTGCTGCTGCCGAACAAGTGCCCAATTCCCTGCATCATGGGGTGTAAGAACAAGAAATATAAAGCAGATAGCCGCACGATTCCTGCCGATATCGGTGACTTACTATGGAGGCCACACAGCACCACGAAACCTGTCATGGTTCCCATCTCAGACCGGCCTTCCCGATTATCCAGCAAAGGAATCTCTAGCTGATGTGGGGGAGTCCAAGAAGCCAGCTGAGAGGCAGAGGACTGCCACACCTTGGATAACAGCTGGAGGTCCACCGGTAACAGAGGGAGCTCTGAAGAGCCTGCTGGATGATCTTCGCCGCAATATTGTGGCCGACATCGCTGTGTTCCGGGAGGAAATTAATGAAGTGTTGATACACCTCCATGACACAGAGCTCACTACTGCAGCCCATGATACACAGATTACAAAACTGGAAAGTGAGCTGTCTGCTCTGAAGCATGAACAGGCTCAAATCCATAACCACATGGCGACAATGGAAGACCGCAGGCAGTGGAAGAACGTGAAAGTTCAGGGGCCTGGGAGATTCAATTACAATAACAGAAATACCACACCTGTTTCGCTTTGCTGGCAAGCTTTTTCTCTGCAAAACAAACTAAATACATGCTATTGGATGTATGTTACCGGCTCCCAGCACCGCAGACAGAATCAGCAGGTACAAGCAGACATGTAATTGTCCGCTCTCAACATGGCCCGGACAAGCAAGCATTCACGGCAGAAGTCTGCAGCAGATCCCCATACAACTTTGAGGAACATTCCTTAACATTCTTACTGGACTTATCCAGACCCACTGTGGACTGGCAGAGGTCCTTAAGGCCATTGACCTCAGAGGTGGCTAACCACAAGATCAAATGGGATGCCCCACAGCCTCAGAGTTGGATAACCACAAGACAAGTGGGATGCCCCAAGATGCCTTAATGTGGGAAAATAGTATCACTAGCAATATGGAGTGGGAGAGTTTCTATCATCAATAAACATACATAGTGCTAGTCCATATTCTGTGCCTTCGAAGGCACCCCTTATTCAAATGCCCAATGACTTCTATGCTAATAGATTGAGTTAATAGACAGTTGTTGCGAGTATTGAAGATCTGATAAGTTATGTCTGAGAATAAAGTGGATTTTGTGCACCCTACCGAAGTCTGATTACTATTGAGGTATATTTCACAGAGCTTCTGACGTGCATTTCGCCTCGTGGCTCATCAGAGAGGAACCGGACATTACAAATGGTCCGGTATAAATAGGGGTAAGTATTATCCCATTGGTCCATTCAAATTTCATATGGGCCAATGAAAAGCCTTGTTGATGTAAATGGGTTAATGTGTTGAGGTTGAATAGGATTAACCCTCTCATGGTGAACCCTTTCATGGTTAAGTGTTTTATCTCTGTGACAATATTTATGATGTCCACAACACTTGGTAGTTTAAGGATCATGTGATGTTTATGACTCCTAATTATTCTAAAAATATTTTGTTAGCAATTAATTTTGCTGAGTGTTACTCAAAGTATTGTTTCTGATATGAAACAGTTGATCAAACTGTATATTATGTTCATTAGATTGTATGTATAATTATTGATTCGTTGTTCGTTAGCAAATACTTTCTAGAAATTAGGAGAACTCAAACATTTTGAAGGATTCTTTGAATAATGTTTCTTTGATTTAATAGCAGTAACTATTTAGAAAAGATTAAATTCAGTGATGACTACTCGAGTAGATTCAAATATGAAAGTTGTTTAAATCTGATAATGTAAATCTTATCTACAGGATTGAAATGATGAGGAGTTACAAACTATTATTTGTGCCCTATAGTGTGGGAACATAGGAGTTTAAATGGAAACATTTTTTTGTGAAGAAATTTTAAATTTTAAGAACTTGATGACCTAACTGGGTAGATCATATTGTTCATGTTGATCTATGTGCCCAATTGTAGTTTTTGGTATGTTCGTTCTTACATATATACATATTCTTTTCTTCAACATTTAATATTTTAATGTCGGTCCTTAGCAGTTAAGGAGACTGACTTGTATGTTGTCTCTGAGGAAGATTTGGTGTCCTTCTTTCCCAATGACTTGAAGGGACTTTTTATTTTTGACATTATGTATTATGTGGCAAGTAATTGCGGGAATTGCAAACTACTCTAACTACTTCTTTGATCTTACATTGATTCTGATTTAAGTTTTTGTTTAAATTTATTAACCTAATTGATTTAAAGTATTCCCACTCATTTATGGGGCATTACTGTCAACCTAGGAGAACTGACTATACTTATAATTTAAAAGGTTTATAAATCTCATGGCATAGAAGGGAAAGTTTATGAAGAATCTCAAAAATGATTTTTAGTTAATGAATAAACCGAATAAAGCTAAATTCTTCGTTGAGACTCCTGGGGGCCAAGGTCTGAAATTCATGAATCCATTTGGATTTTTTTTTTACTATGGGTATTGAAATCCCCTTTCCTCATGTTTGTGGTTAGTCTTTCTAATTCCTGGAAAGTCAGATTTGAAGGATCTCCTCCATGTGATGAACGGATATAGTTTGACACTTGACTTGTGATGTTGATGTTTTTGATTGTGTGGACGTGTTGGAGAATTCTTATTCTAAACTACTGGTATGTTTAATAACAAAATAAACACAAAGTCCTGGTGTGTAGCCAAAAAAGTCCCAACACACTCTGAACACCTGTGAGGGATCCTCTTTGCCCACACAAATACAAGCTATACATACATACAATAGGCGGAGTTGGTGGGTTCTTGGGTAGATGGTACTGCATGATATAGAAATATATAGTGATGCAAGCTAAAAAAACAGGGGATAACCAAATCCTAGTGCAATATTTTCAAATACAGAAATATGAGTAAAGAAGCAATCTCTAGTCTTGTACTGACAAGAATGGAGCCAGTATCACTAGGCTCAATGTGTAGGCATGTGGGAATATTTGTGGGGATTCCACTCCCTTTCTGTGCATTAGTTATTTTCATGCCCTCTAGTCCACCTCACATATCTACTGGACGTCAAGTGAAGTGCAAAAGTTATTTAATTGATAACAAAATAAAACAGATAAAATCGATATAAAGTCTGTTTCTGGTGTTGCAAGACGCGTTTCGCCTCTCTCATAGGCTTCCTCAGTTGCTTGTGATCTCTTTGGTTAATCAATCTTTTATATGTCCACCTTGATTGCTGGTTATTCATCCCGGTGTCTTTTTTCAGACTTCCGTCTTCTCCATATGACGTCAGTCATCATAATGCCTCCTTTTGCCGGATTTCCTGTGTGTCCGTATTTGGAACGCATCTATACATTACAATCTTTGAAAAACTTTATTGTCCATGCTCTGTTGTATTGGTCTGCAATCCTGGCAATCTCTTTTGTATAAATACATTGAGTATTTCAGAGTATAAGAGTAAAAATCAATGCAATGTGGTTATAACTTTCAATGGGACTATTAGATATGTTAATATTGAATGTAAAAGTGAGGACCGATGTGGATATTAACGGATAGTTAATAATGACTAATAAAAATAGTACCATTAGATAACTAAAGGAATAGTAGAGGTAGTAACTAATAGTCAATATTAGACTTTAAAATAGGAAAACAGATGAATGTTGTAAAGGATCATTCTATTCGTGCAGCGATGATCCTTGCAGCTTCTCCCGATATCCAGCTGAAACAAAGTGATTATAACTCCCAATCCCCCAAACATGAGTCGAGACTTCATGAAGGGGTAAAACGATCTTACTGTGAGCTACCCGCCCGGTATTTATGCAGATCTCCCACCTGGTGGACACTCCCCTAGGGGACCAGATGGAAGACTGGGACAAAAGTATCACAGTAGCCAATCACAGTGGCTATAGCATAAGCACTCCCCTTTTACATAAATCACTCCCTCTTTTCCATCCTGGAGAAAATTAACTTAAGATAGCAAAGAGAGCCTTAATTATCTCCAGGTAGAAAGAAACATGGCTTTTCTTATTTTAGCAAAACAGCATAAAAATCTATAACTTTCCTTTTACATAACAAACTTTAAGTCCCACATATCCCCAGATAGCTTGGATCTGAGTGCATATTCTAGGCGAATAGCGCTCAGATCCCACGAACACAGTTCTCAGAAACGTTGACTGAAGTTTGACTTTCGCCAGCCGTTCGTGTGTTTGTAGCCGACTACAAGTTCCATACTGTAGCTATCTGGGGTCGGTCACTTTCGCATACTTCCAGCGTACAAATGAAGTAGTATCTCCTTCATTCGTGTGTTTTTCCACTGTACGAATGAGGATTTGAAGAGGTAGCAGCAGTGTTTGACAAAATAAGTAGCCAGCCGAAATTAGTTCCAGGGAATCCTCGCCATTTACCGCTGAGCGTTCGACAATACAAAATGGCGATTGCCACGTGTTCGGTAAACGAACGCAGACCACCAGCTATTCCCCAATTAGTCTGTGGTTAACTGCAACAGTCTGGGTGGTTAATAGGCGCCACACGACCTCAGTGAGAGGTCGGTGGTTCGGTAGTTCATTCGCTTTTCTCGCTATTTTCACGAAATCCCGCTGTAATCATCCAAATAACCGAACAGGCTGGTTCGCATGGTCTGTTTAATAAGGGATTTCGTTACAAATGTTAATAGGCTTAAATAAGCATATAAAAGTACCCTCTTCCTATAATGGGGGGTTTAGCATCACTAAAAGGTATATACAAATAAAAATAGAAATATATACAAAATGTTCATGTGTATATAGATAAAGATAAGGGAAAAAATAATATATATAAAATAATAAATATAAAAATATTAATTAACAAATGTAGTAGTACACCTTTGTAAAACCTTTTATAAAAGAAGTAGGTATTGCGTCCTAGCTTATCTATTTTAAGAAATGGCATATCTCAAAGTCTGAATTGAGTCCATGCGGGATGAGGGTAATTTTCACTGCTTGTAAGGCACAGAAAAATAGGTCTTTTGGGTCCTGATTATGTTTTGTCTTAAAATGTTGGTAAACACTATGGGTTTCTGAACCTTTTTTAACCCCTTAAAACCGGAGGACGTACAATTACGCCGGGCGTAATTGTACTCCCTCCGGTTTTTGTTAACTTACCCGGTCGCCGGCGGTCCCACGCCGGCGATCGCGGTTGGGGGGACTCCCAGGGAGCCCCCCGCGGCACGTCCGTCCTCGTCGAAGCCCCCCGGCCATGTGAGAGTGGGGTCCTAGCGAGGACCCCACAATCACATGGCCGGGGATAGCTGGCTTCTGTATTGCCGGCAGGGGGGCTGCCTGTAATGACAGGTGGTCCCCCTGCTGGCTGAAAATAAAATAAAAATAAGTTAATGGTGTAAAAAAAAATAATTATATATACTTAGATCATATATATATTATATATATATGATCTAAGTATATATATATACACATATACATACACACACATACACCGTCTAGGTGTATTTTACTATTAATATATATATAATTATATATATATATTAATATCAAATTACACGTAGACTGATACTGATTAAATATATATATAATTATTGTTATATATATATTTATATATAATATAAAAAAATAAAAAATGTAAATACGTTAAAAAATAAAATTAAAAAAATAATTAAAAATAAATAATTAAAAATATATAGATGTGTGTTATTTCGTTCTAACTGTATTGTGAAATTAATATATATATATATATATCA